AAGCCTCACCCAAACCAGGAGTGCATCATTCTCCATGCATACCTTTCATGGTCCTACCTCTGGGCCTTTGCTTGAGCTATTTGCCTTGAGTCCCACCCTCCTGTTGTACACCTGTGAGAAAAACTCTTATTCTTTAAGGCTCAGATTAAATGCTACTTTTTTGAGGAGAGCAAAATCACCTGGTGACCATCCAGCAGGCCCCAGAGGCAAAAACTCCTTATCTGAGGAATTTAGAAGGGAGCAATGACCACCTGGTGACCATCAAACAGGCCAAATTCTTTATCTGGGAAAATCAGAAGTAATTAGACTTCCCTATCATTTAAAGCAGGCATCTGGTCCCATATTTCTTTCCCTCCAAATTTATAAGTAACTAGAATTTCTACACATCTCTGGAATGGCATGCTGAAACTCATTGTGCAACCCTTGCTGACATTAAGGCACCAAAACATCTACAGATGTAATCATTTATGACCTATGTGGCCAGTATCATCCAAATTGCCCCTAAGCTTCCGCCTTAAGGTCCATAAACACTCCTGAGGAAAATCCACCACAGTGCGCTCAGTCCTCTCTCACTGAGTGCCCTGCTGCACTCTTTTGCAGTATTCTTTCTTTCTAATAAACTTTCCTTCTTCAAACCTATACTGTTATCAGTCAATTTTTCTTACCAACACTCAAGTCAACCACCTCCTTGTGCTGGGGCTCTGACACCCTGCCCAGCATTTTTTTTCCTGAGGTTTCCAGACAACCACCTTCCTCCCTTGTTATTATTTCTCCCCATCTTGATCTTCCAGGGGGTGTAGTTTGTGACTCTCTTTCCTTATTTGCATTATAATTATTTGGGAACAGGTCTTACTCCCCTGGTGGAGATCCTAAACTCCTTTAGTTGGGGTCAGTCATTGTTTGTCTTTTCTTTCTTTCTTTCTTTTTTTTTTTTTTGAGACGGGGTCTTGCTCTGTCACCCAGGCTGGAGTGCAGTGGCCCTATCTCTGCTCACTGCAATCTCTGCTTCCTGAGTTCAAGTGATTCTCCCACCTCAGCCTACCAAGTAGCTGGGATTACAGGCATGCACCACCACGCCCAGCTGATTTTTTTTATTTTTTAGAAGAGATTTTTGTATTTTTAGAAGAGATGGGGTTTCCCTATGCTGGCTGGTCTCAAACTCCTGACCTCAAGAGATCCGCCTGCCTCAGGCTCCCGAAGTGCTGGGATTACAGGTGTAAGCCACCGTGTCTGGCTTGCCTTTTCTTTCATTCAACAAATATTCACTGGGTGCCTTCCATACATCAGGTATCATGGTCTTGCCCTTGGAGCACTGATACTTTATGGGAACACAGGGAAGCAAAGGGGGCTGAGAGAGGCTCACTCACTCAGACCATTGCAGGGGCTGTGGCAGCACAAAGTCAGAGCACTGAATCCACTCATGCAGGGGTGGGGGAGGCTGTCAGGAAAGGTGTTAAAGGAAATCAGAATATTTTACTCCAAAATATATTTTTTGACATATTTTGGGATGGCTGTCAGAGAGCCAGCAAAAACAGGTAGCTCTGCAAAGCTGTCTTTTGTGCAGGAGATTTGTATTTACAGAGAAAAATCTGCATTGATGCAGTCAGGTTTTCTCTGAGGCTTTCCCTTGTCTAGATCTAGAAAAGATGAACTGACAGGCTGACACCTTTAAAGGCCTAAAAGAAACATTTACCATCTATTCTCTCTGAGGCTGCTACTTGTGAGCTTTCATCTAAATAACAAGACCCCCTTTGCTAGCCAAGCCTTACTTTTCTCCCTCCCATAACGTGTCTTACTGCTTAAAATATGATTTACCACCATAATCTGTCTTTGGCCATCCTCTGAGCCCCCATTCTTCTGTAACCTCAAGATGGTATAAGCTTCTGCACCCCATTGAGGGGTTGGGTCTTCATTCTGAAGGCTCCTATGTCACATAAAACTGTATGCCTTTTCTCCTATTAATTTGCTTCTTGGCCGGGTGTGGTGGCTCATGCCTGTAATCCAAGGAGGCCGAGGCGGGAGGATCACTTGAGGTCAGGAGTCTGAGACCAGCCTGACCAACATGGTGAAACCCCGTCTCTACCAAACAAAACAAAAATTACCTGGGCATGGTGGCATGTGCCTGTAGTCCCAGCTACTCGAGGAGGCTGGGGTAGAAGAAGTCTTGAATCTGGGGGCAGAGGTTGCAATGAGATTGTGCCATTGCACTCCAGCCTGGATGACAGAGTGAGACCTTGACTCAAAAAAAAAAAGAAAAAAAAAGAAAAGAAAGAAAAGAAAAAAATTTGTTTGCTTCTTATCAGTAATTTTTAGGGAAACTTCAAAGGACAAAAGGGAAACTTTCCCTTGGCCCCAACAGCTTCCTAGAAGTTACATCTAAATGGAAGCCCTGATGATGTTCACCCCTCTCTATCTCTTGCAGCAAACTGCCTGAAATATCCTAAATGCTTCAAAGAGTAAATGATCATAACATTTCAGAATATCTTTTCATTTAAGGTTCTCAGGTAAAATTCCCTCTCATTATTGGTCAGATTCTCAACCTACCTCCCCAATACCTATAATAAAAGTGAACTTTTGTTTCAGCTCTTTAGTTCAGCAAGGATCATAACGTCTGACAGTTCTCTTGATACGCAAACTGGTCTGGAATGCATTTTTCCTGTGGTCACGTCATTCTGATGGGGCTGCCAGAGAACAGTTGTCATATAAGTCCTTTCCATTTTTAGCATGTCTGTCACCCAAAGGGGGCCCAAGACACAGGAGCCTCTTCTGAAGGACCCCGTTTCCAGAGTTGTCAGCTCCTGCTCCAGCCACAGGAGGGGAAAGTGAGGAGGCTAAAGGGGAGGTGTGGGTGCAGCCCTTTTCACACAAATGCCAGCTCTCAAGGGGGAGCGAGCCCCAGGCCACAGCCTGGGCACACCCATGGAAAAGGGGCTTGTGCCAGGAGGTCAGAAGGAAGGGAGGGGACAGGAAGTGGTACACTTGGGGTCTGGAGGCCCACCAAGAAAGGAACACCAAGTTTCAACAAGCCTGACTTTCCAATCAACATAATCTTCAGTGTTGCCAGCTACTCCACTCCTATCCTGCCTTAGGAAGCAGGAAGCGTATACCCCTAACCTTACTCGGAGATCCGGCACCGTGCGCACTTCCTATACACACAGGATCTTGGAATTGGGCCGGGATGATGACTCAACACTGACGATAAGGATGTCCTCGGGTGCCTTGGGTTGACTTAGAACGTTTATAGAATTGTTCCTGTGTCAGAGACGTTTAATTCTTTTCAGCTAGCCACTTTACCACCTCTTCTATTTTTTCCTCAACCTGTTCCAGGGCCAGGCAAAGCCTTTGTCAGGTATTGCTGCTTTCCTACGGCCCCACACAGCAGCGGGAGATCCCACATATGGAGCCTTGGCACGTGCCAAGCACCAACTTCCATTAATTACCTCATTGAATCCTTGCCCTACAAGTGATGGACTGCTTCCACTCCTATTTTGCATGTGAGAGGTTAAGTGGCTTTCTAGCAAAAGACTAAGCCTGATTTCTTATAAACTACCCCATGCTGGCTCACCCTCAGTGATCCCTACTCCTGATGTGCTGGCCCACCCATGGGCCCACATGTGCTTGGCTGGAGCTGGAAGTCTGGCCTAGTGTGTCTCAAGCCTCTGTGCTCCTGTGTCCCCCAAGCATGCCTCTATTATTGCCCTGGTGGTATTGCTGTGTTTGTAGGCTCCTCCTTGTTTTGAGGAGCCTTGAACTTAGGGTCCTCAAGAGGAGAGACAAATGACCCTTATATGCTGCCCAGAGGCTGGTACCTGCAGGTCTTATTCATAGACGGAATAACTACAGCCTCAAAGGGAAACTGAGGTTGCAAGCCTAAGGGTTAAGCACTATTTACTGTGGACATCATACATACTAGATACTTAATAAATGGCTTGCAGACATCTTCAGGAACTCAATCTGGGTCTAAGGAGGTTCTAAGAATATTCTCAGTTCTAGAAGCAGTTCTAGGTCACCCAAGATGGTGGCTCTATCACTTCCATTTATAAAGTGCTGACCATGTTCCCAGGATCATAAGCCCTTGTACTCAACCACTCTTTGACGTAGGTCCTATCATCTCCATTTTACAGATGAGGAAACTGAGTCTCAGAGAGGGGAAGTAACTCCCAAGTCACTAGACAGTAAGAGGTGGAGCTGGCATTCAAACCTGGTTGCTTCAGAGGAGTTGCCTAAAGTCTTTGACTTTAGCAGTAGTAAACAGCATAGCCAAAATCAGACTTGTGATTTGTTTAGTTGCTAATTTCATGTCTCCAAAAAAATTTTCAGGTCTCAAAATACCCTAAGGCTACCTTTGTCCAAATGCTGCACTCTTTGTAGCTGACCCAGAGAGAAGATGGGACACTCACCCAAAAACCTGGCATGCCTACTCGAGGATACCCCATGTCAGTCAGGGCTCCAGGAGACCTGCATTCTCCTCTCCAGAACCAAAACACCTTTGTTGCGTGGCAAACAAAGGCCCCGCGCGCCCACACAAACACGAGACAGGACAAAGACCTGACAGAACCGAGCACTAGCAGAGCACCATGGGTTATGGAAACAAAGTGCATCTTACATAAAAGCAAACCACACCACCACACCAAAGCCTGGTGTTCTCAGCTGTGTTAGTCAAAGCAAATCGAGGGTCATCTCCAAGGCATACATGGGACGTGAGGAAGGTCTGCCTTCTCAGAGGCCCTTGCAGCAGGCCAGGAGGCATTCAAAGTAGAGATAACTTCCGAATGACCTCAAGTGGTCAGATACAGCCTGTCCTTTCCCTCCAACTGTATCCAGCCCTGGCACCTGAATTCATGTCCCCCCATTCCCTCCGGGGCCATCTCTTTGCTCCCGAGGCAAGCAAATGGTCTCACCAGCATTCACTTGGCCTCCGTAGATGGACCGGGGCGAGACGTGCAGCCCACCCTGCCAAGTGAGACGCCAAGTGCACACGCGGCATGCTGCAGTCCTACCTGGCTCCCACCTCTCCGAGCAGCTTTCCTCCCCGCCTGCTCGCCACCTCTATGCCGCTCTGTCTGCTCAGCCTCACTTCCTGGAAAAGCGCTACCCAGGGGCTTGCCGGGCCGGCTCTCCTCAGGGGTGTTGAGATCTGAGAGTCTGTGTTCAGTACTCAGGCACCTGACCACGTCTGAAGGCTTCAAGCAGCTCTTCTTAGAGATCTCGGGTCCGCCAGGGCCTCTCTGGCCTGCCTCCCTCTCTGCTTTCCTCTCATATTGTCCACTCTCTTCGCGCCATGGCTGCCTCTTGCTCTGGCTGCTAAAGGCATCACTAAGCTGGGAGATGACACTATCAGAGCTCCCCAGTGGCAGCTGCGAGAAGCTATCTTGGTGGATGCCTGAAGATGGCATGTGGACACCACCGTCTCCATTCATGTGAAGGGAGGCCTGGGAAGCGGGTGCTAGGGCGTAGGTTTTGTGTGGGGAAGGTAGGGCCAGTGGAGAAGCTACTGATCGTGGGGTGGGACGATCTGACCAACTCAAATGGGGGAGGCTGAGAGACAGGGAGGGACTGGCCCTTGGTGACAAGGCAAGGTGGTCAGTGTTATAGACAGAAGCCTCTGGCAGAGGAGGCAAGGGTGGGGTCAGGGCCAGAGAACGCCTGCCTGGGACCCCCACAGTCAGCGAGATCCACTCAGAGGTGACGGCGTGCATCTCGGGGGACAGGGCTCGGCGGGAGTGGGGCAGAGATGAGGGTGCTGGCGTGATGAGCTTGCTGTGACTGGAAAACTTAAAAAGAAGAAGAGAGAGGAAAACAAAAGAAAGAAGCAAAAGGTACAAGTGTCAGCATAAAGGAAAAAGAAGGAAAATAATCACAAGGGGTATATAAAGAGGAATGAAATGGAGAGGATGAGCAAGGACACTCTGGTGTCCAAAAAGGAAATCCTTGGGTTACGTCTGGGGAGAAACCAGGATGGGTGAGTGTGCGTGTGAGCATGTGCGAATGTGAGCCTGATGTGTGCAGGCAGTGGGTGGAGGAAGCAGCCAGAGGTGTTGAGATGGAGAGAGGTTCCCGTCAGAGTAGTGATGGATGAGGCCGGCCTGCTTTGCAGAATTGGATTTTCAAAGGGACCCACTGGAAGCTCCCTATCCCAGCCCCCCAGCCCCTGTGCATCCAGATCCCTGACCCGGAACCATGGGGAAAGGTGGCCCCGCACTGCCATGGCCCTTCCCTGAGGTTTTATTTCCTCTGGGAGCTCAGCAGAGTCTTCCAGAGAGGAGTATGAGTAGTGTACTAGTTTTGTTTTACAATCACTCTTGGCTACAGTCAAGTGAAAAATGTAGCCGAGTTCTCTGCATCCTTACAAAGCAGAATGTCCCGCCCCAGTCACACACCCTGTCCTATAAGACAACAGGATGCGGCTGTCACTGTGCAGGAAGCCCTGGGTCAGCCTGTTTAATGCTTTCTGCCAAGAACCCTCTACTGGGGTCAGTGATGAGCAGGTGTCAGAGGAGGAAACAATTAGAGGACTAGACAAGAGGCACCATCTCAGGGGCAACCTGGGCCCCCAGGTCCTACTCTTGTTCCTCTGCCAACCTCCTGGTGGTTTGGCTGGACTTTTTCACAGGATGTCACCCCCACTGTATCACCCTGAACTCAAGGTTCTGACATTTTCTTGGCTTTGGGAAAGTGGGGATCAGTTTGGAATAGTTTATATTTCTAAACAAGTTTATTCATAATTAATGTTTGGGAGAGCCAACATCTTACCATGCCTATAAACCTACATCCTTTCAGCCCACTGAGACTGAGATGCTATAAGTTACTTGTTCCAGTCACCTGGTTCCGGTGAATGCAAACACTTTGGACCTGGTCTATGTGGCTGACGAGAAGAAGGTGTAAGTCTCTCTTTCAGCCTTTGTCTTCTGCAGGCCAACTTTGGCCAAGATGACTGAGGACCACATTTGGACCATGGGATTTATGACACAGTGGTGGTCCCCACACCAACAGCTTCACCCAGGAGGGACCAACTGATAAAGGCTCTTGTTTCTCTTTCCCTAGTCACTTTATTCCCAGAGCAATTATCTGACTCTTCCTTTTCCCCTGAGATAATATATCTTCAACCAAGCACTGGAAAAGGCCATTTGTATGCATGAAGACAAAGTCCAGTGTACAGTCTGCTTTCCTGCAGTTTTTGTTTTTTGTTTTTTTTTTGGAGACAGAGTCTCGCTCTGTCGCCCAGGCTGGAGTGCAGTGGCGTGATCTCAGCTCATTGCAACCTCCGCCTCCCAGGTTCAAGCAATTCTCCTGCCTCAGCCTCCCAAGTAGCTGGGACTACAGGTGCCCACCATCTTTTTTTGATTTTTGAATTTTTAGTAGAGACAGGGTTTCACCATGTTGGCCAGGCTGATCTCGAACTCCTGACCTCAGGTGATTCACCCACCTCAGCCTCCCAAAGTCCTGGGATTACAGGCGTGAGCCACCACACCCGGCCTCCTGCAGACAGTTTTTAATTGCAGTGCTCAAAAACTTCCCCAGAGAGGCTGTGTGCCAACAGCACTGTTGACTAAGAAAACTCACATGCTGAGTATGAAAACTAGTGACGAGAAGCTTAGATACCTGAGGGCTTGCAGTGGCACTGCGACTTGGGGAGGCGGAGAAAGGCAGGTCCATGTAATCCACAGGGTTTTTCACCAGTGGCCGCTTGATCACATCCACGTAGGTGATGGGGAAGATGCCTTGTCGAGATGTCCCCGGGATCCTCCCTTCGTACCAGTTCTCATCTACCTGCCGGAGCAGTGTTATCCTCTCACCCTGGAAGACACAACAAAGACAGGGTCCTTGTCCTAGCATGCCTTTGCATGCCTGGGGCCTCTGCCTGCATGCTTCAATGTCCTGCATTGTTTACCACATTCTTAGCTCAGGAAAAACATTCCCTGCTGAACCTGGAGGGAATTACCACCACTGGGATGAGGATGCTAATGGCAGAGGAGCTACCTTGATGCTGGGAAGTTTAGCTTGGTTCTTTAAGTATTTTAGTAAAGGAGAACATCAGATTTGTGCCCCTAAGCCAGGGAACAAATGTAGTATTTTTGACTCATTTAATGTGAAACAGGTATCCAATCTTCATCTCTAAGGCAAAGATTTTGGGGGGTTTCTCTTTTTCTTTCTTTTGTAGCATTATAAATACTTACAATGTATCATTATAGAAAAATCAGAACACAAACATAAAGCAGAAAGCAATCATCACCCATCACATAGTCATTTGGGGATAAACACTATTAATATTTGGCATATGGACTTTCCAGATTTACTTCTACGCATGTGAATTAAACCTCACATATTTTTTCTTACAAAAATTGAGTATGAACTGTATTTCCATACTTTTCCAACTTGCTTTTTAAAAAATACTTAATAGTATATAGTAAACCTCCTTCTTTATCAAAAAATAGAATTCTAGATTTTTAATGGCATTGCACAGCTTAATGGACCACTGCAGGGTATTCTGTTGCACACACATATAATGATTTCATTACTGATCCCCTGCTGTAGGGTAAATTAGGTTGCTTCCAGTGTTATATAAGATGGCTCATCTTTTTCTAACCCACGTGCTCACTTCCCTCAATCCTCAATAAAAATCAGTAACTTAGTAACTTTAGCAAGCCAGAGAATTTTGCCATGTAGAGTGTTTGGATTCTGGAAAGAAGAACTTCTCTGCACAGTGTAATTGTGTCTGAATAAGCATGACGGTGATGATAATGATACTGGCATCTCCTGTTTACTAAGCACGAGCCAGATACCATGTGTCATGCTGGGGGCTTCACATAAGCTGTCTCACCTAAGTCTCTTACAACCACCTAGGGGGGAGCCATCTATCTTCATTTTTTTCTATAAGAAAATGGTGGCTTGAAAAAGTATTTAACTCCCACATTCTGCACAGCTGGTTTGTGCCTTTTGGGTTCAAAGCTTTTCAAACTTCTCCTGGTATCAATGCACTTGTTTTTTCCACTAGGTCACACCAATATATTGTAAAACCCAGTTCCCAATACAGTGCATTATCACATCATTAGTTGGTAAGTGTTGGTTGAAAACAGCTTATAAAAGATGTCTAAGACTCCAGAAATACTATCTTTAATCAGTGAGCTCAATACAGTTAAACCCTGACATTAGCCTAGGGTTTATTTTAAAAATACCTTACCTCAGAAAATTCTCCAATTTCCCTTAATGCAATTCTTTTATTTTTTTTCTTCAATAAAGACGGGGTCTTGCTATGTTGCTCAGGCTGGTCTTGAACCCCTGGCCTTAAGTGAGCCTCCTGTCTTGGTTTCCCAAAGTGCTGGGATTACAGGCCTTAATGCAATTCTTTTTTTTTTTTTTTGAGATAGAATCTCACTCTATTGCCCAGGTTGGAGTGCAGTGGAGTGATCTCAGCTCACCGCAACCTCTGTCTCCCAGGTTCAAATGATTCTCCTGCCTCAGCCTCCTGAGTAGCTGGGATTACAGGAACCCACTACCATGCCCAGCTAATTTCTGTGTTTTTAGTAGAGACGGGGTTTCACCATGTTGGCCAGGATAGTCTCAAACTGACCTCAAGTGATCTAACTACCTCGGCCTCCCAAAGTGCTGGGATTACAGGCATGAGCTACCGTGCCCAGCCCTTAATGCAATTATTGATCGGCATGCTTCTCTTAACGGTACAGACAGCACCCCCAGACTGGGATGTGATAGCAACGCCACACTTCCCCACATAGCTGCGCCATCCAAGAGAGCCCCAAAGCAAGGCATGAGAAGGGCAGCTTACCTTTCTGAAGGACATTTCTACTTGTGTATCACCATTAAAGTTAAACTTAGCAATAGCTTCTCCATATTCCAAAACCTGCACTGGTGTCAACTTTTTGGGCTGAGCCTTCTCAGCAGGAGGAAGAAGCTGAGAAAGGGAAACAGGTAAAAGAGAACAAGGGAAGAGAAGAAAGCAGGGAAACAAGAGGAAAAGGAGGAAACAAAACATAAGCATTTAGTAAATAAACGGTGCTTTGGGCACGGTCAGGCTTTTCCTTAGAAAGAAAAGGGGCTGCGGTACCTCAATATAGGTGCGTGGGAAGATTCCCACCCGGCCGTGGTGTTCTCCTTCATACCAGTTCTGATCAATTTGCTTATAAATGTAAACAATATCTCCCTTCTGCAGAGGAAGCTCCCTGTCGACAGAGGGTCAACGGCATTTTAGCAGATGTTTCAGTATGTGTAAAATTAAGACACTTCAGTTTTGGAGCAAAAGAAGACTTTTAAGTGGGGTCAAAGGGTACAAATTCCAGAGAGGGGACTCCATATTTGGAAGTAAGAACCCCACTATTCAGGAAATTACATCACATTTGGCATTTTTCCAGTCTTTTGCAGGATGGATGTTAACATTCAAATTGACTAGCCCTTGAAAGTGCTCAGAGGCCTTATTAATTTGTTGTGGTTTTCTAAATGCATTTTTTGTGAATGCTGTCTTATGCTCAGAATATTTATGCAACACACAGCAATGCACTCAGCTGCCTTAACTGATGTTTATTAAACGAAGAAAAGTGTCTCCTTCTGGATACCTTCACTATCCTCTTCTATGCCCTAGCAGGACATGCCTTCGTTGCTTTAAATTGCCCTCAAATTATTTGTGATATATTGACATCCTTCTATCATTCCATCAATTTCACCATTTGTCCACCCATCCATTTTACCATCCATCTTCGTATCATCATGCAGTAGAAAGGTTCTGAAGTTAGGCAGATCTGGTCCAAAACCCAGTTCTGAAATTTAGTAGCTCTGGGACCATGGACACAATACTTAATCTGAGACACTGTTTCTTTAGCTGAACTTGGAGCTAACTCAGAGTTGCTGGAGAATGCTTCAACAAACTAAAAATAAACAGCTAGGATGGTGCCTGTTGTACAGGTAGGTAACACTCAATAAATGTTAATTCCATTACTTTTTTTCATGAGACAAGGTCTCATTCTGCTGCCCAGGCTGGAGTGCAAGTGGCATGATCACGGCTCATTGCAGCCTCAACCTCCTGGGCGCAAGTGATCCTCCTACTTCAGCCTCCTGAGTAGCTGGGACTACAGGCATGCACCACCATGCCTGGCCAATTGTTACATATATATTTTCGTAGAGATGGGGTTTTGCCATGCTGCCCACGCTGGTCTTGAACTCCTGGGCTCAAGTGATCCTCCTGCCTTAGTCTCCCCCAAAATGCTGAGATTACAGGCATGTAGTCACCGTGCCCGGCCTAGTTCCTTTGCTTTTTAACATGGAAAAGTGATGTTGGAAAGAAAAGTAGATTTTCCTTCAAATACTCTTTGTGCCCCTTTGCAACTTTTCCATATCCATTCTTTTGTTTGCCTTAATAATGATGATGTTATTATTATTATTATTATTATTTATTTATTTTTTTAGACAGTGTCTCACTCTGTCACCAGGCTGGAGTGCAGTGGTGCAATCTCAGCTCACTGCAACCTCCACCTCCCAGGTTCAAGCAATTCTCCTGCCTTAGCTTCCCGAGCAGCTGGGACTACAGGCACGTACCACCATGCCCGGCTAATTTTTTTTTTTGTAGAGACGGGGTTTCATCATGTTGGTCAGGCTGGTCTTGAACTCCTGACCTCATGATCCACTTGCCTTGACCTCCCAAAGTGCTGGGATTACAGGCGTGAGCCGCCGCACCTGGCCCAGATGATGTTAATTTTTAACCAGGACTCTTTTTTAAAAAAAATTAGACAAAGGCAAATTTTAAACAAAATGAAAACTTAAGGATAAAAATTAGAACTTTTTCTTTTTCTTTTTTTTTTGAGACAAGAGTTTGCTCTTGTTGCCCAGGCTGGAGTGCAATGGCGTGATCTCGGCTCACCACAACCTCCGCCTCCCGGGTTCAAGCTATTCTCCTGCCTCAGCCTCCCCAGTAGCTGGGATTACAGACATGGGCCACCAGGCCCAGTTAATTTTGTATTTTTAGTAGAGACGGGGTTTCTCCAAGTTGGTCAGGCGGGTCTCGAACTCCCAACCTGAGGTGATCTGCCCGCCTCGGCCTCCCAAAGTGCTGGGATTACAGGCGTGAGCTACCGCGCCTGGCACTTACAACTTTTTCTTGAATTAAATAATTTTAAAATTGTAACATTTTACTGAATTAAAAAAAAATGACCTAGATCTTTTTCATTTGTGTCAAACCAATAGGATGGAAAGGTCTCCAATTGTAACTTGGAAGGGGTGTGCTCACTTTGCAGGATGCCAGGAAGTCCCACGGTATGTGAGGGGTGCTGGCCTAACAATGAGGGCACATCTGGAAAACTATAGAAAGTCAGTTCTGTGCTGAAGAAAAGCACAAGGCAGCCTTTGTGGGTCTCACATGAGCAGACAGGATTCTAACCCTCAAGAGGTCTGTAAAGGGGATGTGGGCATTTGTCTCTATGAGAAGGAATGTCTCGGGCCGCATTTTTGCCACAGCCCTCTTTGGGGGGCATTATGAATTCCCTCTCCCTTCACCCCCAACCACAGGCACATAGATGAGCAAGACCCTCAGCATATTCACTGCTGTGGAGACCTGCAGGCTCCTGACTCTACTATACTAAGTATCTTGCAGCTGTGGAGGGGGGTGGGAGTGTAATGGTCCTACTGTTAAGCAAAGGATACACTTGTGTGTGAGAGAGGAACTGAGGGGTCAGTAGTTGTGGCTGATGGAAGTCTACCATGGGAAACCTGGGGCCCTATTCTGCCACTACTGTGGACTATACCCCTAGCTCCCAAAGAACCACACGACCAGGTCTGCTGGTGAGAGGGTTTGAGAAATATGATTCGCTTTAGATCTTTTTTTGGAGCATCACAGTGTACATCAGCACAGCAGAGGCTCTGAGAAGACCCAGGGGAAAGAAACTTGTTTAACTTTGTTGAACCAAGTATTCCATAACATGCTTTTTATTTTTTTTGTTTTTTTAAATTTTTTAGATGGAGTCTTACTCTGTTCCCCAGGCTGGAATGCAGTGGCGTGATCTTAGCTTACTGCAACCTCCACCTCCTGGGTTCAAGCAATTCTCATGCCTTAGACTCTTGAGTAGCTGGAATTACAGGCACTTGCCACCACGCCCGACTAATTTTTGTATTTTTTGGTAGAGACAAGGTTTCGTCATGTTGGTCAGGCTGGTCTTGAATTCCTGACCTCAAGTGATCTGCCAGCCTCGGCCTCCCAAAGTCCTGGGATTACAGGCATGAGCCACTACGCCTGGCCCCGGCAGCATGCTTTTTTGAGTAACTGACTGTGGGGAAATGTAAAACCAAGTGACTGAAGGGCTTAAAAGACCATGGAGCTAGAATTTACTTTTTTCACTAAATTTTGTGGACGTTTTTTTGGAGGCAGCATGTCGTGATGAAAACACGGAATCAGAAGGAAGGAAACCTCTCTCCGGCATTAGCAATGTTGATAAAAGGTGACAATTTCTGTGGATCTAAGCTTTCTCACCTGTTCTATTTGACGGGGTTGCTCTAAAAAAAAGTTGTTTTAAGACTCTTTATGAAATCTGGGAAAATGTACTATTATCATCACTAGACCATTTAATAAATCTTACATAGACCTTTCTCAATTCAAAGAAAAAGTGTATTAATTAAATTGCAAATTAATTTATATATCTCTGTTATCTTGTCTGGTTTTTAAAAAAAGGGGGGTAAGAGGATAACAATTTTGAGCACTAAATTTTGGTACACTACGCAAAATGTTTTACAGGTACTACCCCAGCTTCCCTGAAAGAGAGGCATTTTTACCCGTATCTTGCAGATAAAGAAAATTGAGTGGGGGAGAAGTTGATAACTTGACTACACTCACAGAGATAGTAAGTGACATAGTCAGGATTTGAACACAGGACCTCCTGACTCTAAAGCTCACAATCTTTGCAGTATAGTACGCAGCCACCTCCTTTAGCTGACCAACTAAAGGACTGGAATAATACACACAAACCCAACTATACCAGATTTGTGCCTAGGTTCTAGACACTGTGGCCTGGTCGCTCATTTTGTGGGATAGAGGAGATCAGAACCATGGTTGGTTAGCTCCACATAGCATTTCCCAGCATCTAAGGACAGGGAGCTCTCCCTCTGATCACCAGATGCATGACCGTCCATCTGCAGGACAATGGGGTGGCCACTGTCCATTGTACTTTTAGCTGCCGATGAGAACTCATGGACTACTTAAATCCATAATTAGATAAAAAGCCAGCTGTTTCCTTATGGAACCCAGTCTTTGGTAGCATTTCCCAAATCGTGTTTCAGGTTCCTTTCTTGAAAGACTTCTGGAGCTATTAACATGCCATCAACAAAGTATTTCTTCAAAGTGGGTGGGAGGTATAGATATAGCATGGAGTGTTTCCCAACTCATTCTACAACAGAACTCCCTTTTTGAGAAAAATCTTATAGGGCTAGCACTCTGAGGAACACACTTAGAAAAACGCTAGTCTCCTGTGGGTTCATGCAAGCCTTTAATCTCTTGGGATGTTGTAGCAAAATGGGTAAAGTTATCTCCCTAGAGACTGGTCTAGATCCTTCCACAGAAAAGATGGGTCAGATCAAGCCACCACTTAAGCAAAATAGAGCCCCTACATAGGAGGAGTCAGGGTGGGACAGGGTATAAGAGCCCAACCTCTGCCTAGGTTTGAATTCCAACTCTCTCACACCAGCTTGAGCAGGTTCCTTAACCTTATAGTCCCTTGGTCTTTTCATTTGAACAGTGGGGATCATTACAGCACCCACTCCATAATGAGTTAACATATGCAAAGTACTCGGAATAGTGTTTGGCACATAGCAAACTCTATGAACTACTGTTTTGTTCTTTTTTTTTTTTAACAACAATTTTTATAATTGTTATTTCTCCAACTCTTTTCTACAAACAAACTGCTGTGTTTCAAAGAGGCAGCTAAAAAGATAAATAAATATAACTGGTAGCACTTACTTTAGTGTCTGAGCTTTAAAGTCAAATTTGGCTCTGGCAGGTCTCATCTGAACATAAGAAACAATGACAAGTTAAAATCAGGATTCAGGTACAACAAGGACACATTTTCACAAATTTCTAGAAAGCAAAGCAGAAAAATTAACTCTAGCCAGTTTGTTCTAGTGTAGAAATCTGGGCAAAATTGCATTTGTCTGACCTTAGTAGAATATTAGATAAATGTTTAGTTAACTATGTATGTCATGCATGAGAATCCCCTAAAAACAACCAGATCTGGGGAAGAGATGATTAGAAAGGTCCCAAAGCTGAGGTACCAGTTCCTCAAAACATACAGACCATGGCTATTAAAAAAACAAACAAACAAAAGACAAAGTCAGCCAGAAGTCCTAAGATGTTCCTTATCTGTCTTATTCCTTAGGGACATCTATTTGCTTAAATTATGATATGCAAGTAGATGAAACGCCGACTCACTTCTCACATCATCTCCAACTCCATATATTTCTTATGGTCTGTGACCTCATCCAAAAAGCCAGAAAAAGTGGTCCCTGAGCTCAAATGACTCCTGTCAAGACTTCCAATCCTGTTGGGTAGTCCTCTCTTCCCAGATGCCCAGGTCTGAGTCAGCCTCCGCCCCTTCTCCACTTCCTGATCAAGTGTGTCATTAAGTCAGGAGGGACCTCCCTCCACACCTCCATCCCTCCGCAACCCTGTTGCTCAAAGCTGACGCCTAGTTTCCATTGACACAAAGCTTCCTTTGATTTCACATTCTCTTCACTCTAATCTGTCACCCGGGAGCACAAATAACATTCCTAACATTCTTCCTCACATCTCTTCCTTGCTTTGAAGTTGGCTGCTGCTCTCAACTTTCCCTCAGTTCAAATCTCAATTCCTGCCATAGGTGAAGGCCTCTGGGTAGTTTCTCCCTACTCTTACTGAATTGCCTTTATCTCTACTACACTGTTCCTGTTCCAGTCAAATCTATTTGCTACACCTCAACTGAACCCCCTCCTATCCCCTCCTCTCTCTGAAATTTCTTTTTTCTTTTCTTTTTGAGACAGGGTCTTGCTCTGTCTCCCAAGCTGGAGTACAGTGGCACGGTCTCAGCTCACTGCAACCTCTGCCTCCCAGGTTCAAGCAATTCTTCTGCCTCAGCCTCCAGAGTAGCTGGGACTACAAGCATGTGCCACCATGTCTGGCTAACTTTTGTATTTCTCAGTAGAGACTGGGTTTTACCATGTTGGCCAGGGAGGTCTCTAACTCCTGGCCTCAAGTGATCCGCCCACTTTGGCCTCCCAAAGTACTGGGATTACAAGCGTGAGCCACTACGCCTGGCTGTGGAATTTCTTTCTTTTTTTTGAGACAGCGTCTTGCCGTGTTGCCCAGGCTGGAGTGCAGTGGCACAATCATGGCTCACTGCAGTCTTGACTCCCCAGGCTCAGATGATCCTACCACCTCAGCCTCCTGAGTAGCCTGGACTACAGGCACACACCACCAAGCCTGGGTAATTTTTATACAGATAGGGTCCACGATGTTGCCCAAGCTGGTCTCAGATTCCTGGGTTCAAGCAGTCCTCCTGCCTTGGCCTCCCAAAGTGCTGGGATTACAGGTGTGAGCCACTGTGCCTAGCCTTCCGCAGGTATTTTTAAAGTTTGCATTTTCACATTGATGTTTCCATCTACCTACCTATCTATACCATACATACTGGGGCCAAGTGAATGATCACCTTATAATCAAGTTAAAGCCACACAATTTCAATACCTGTGTTTGTGTCTGTAACCAAAGGGCATAATTTCACAGTTGCAGGTGAACAAGAAAAGAACGGATGTGGGGTTAATGACAAATGACAAGTTTACAAAAGAAAACTAAATGACCAAAATTATAAGGATAAGAATTTTACAGTGATTCCAATAGAAAAACACAAGGAAGTAGGTTACCTCATGTCACCCAGCTGTAGAGCTGTGTGAACTTTAAAAAATGTATACCAAAGCAGCACCACATTCACACTCTGGTAACTGAGTTCTGTCAAAACAGTATCTCCTATCAATTAAGTCAATATAATTATATAGGTTTGTAGTTTATGATTAATTTGTGAGTGGACTTAGGTTAATAATGGGGTGTGGTGAGATTTTTTTCACTGAAGGCCTGTTAAAATTCACTGATTCCATTGAACTCTTGAGACGTGTATGTGAGTCATCGGTGGTTATACAAAGCAGCATCCTCTCCCTTTTTATCTCCCTGTAGCTCCAAGACTGAATCCATCTTTCCCTCCTCTGGCTTTCATAGTATTGTATTACTTACTATAGGACACAGATAACTGTGTAAGAGGGAGACTCTTCCACTATCAGCTCCCCAAGGGCACACAGACAGAGTTCTTTCTGCCTCCCATAGGGTCTTACACAGAACCAGTGGTCACCCCAGTCCTACTGAATGGGACTGAAGTGCCTTGACACAGTGTGGTACACCTGGGATGTGTTGGTCTCTACTTTTTCAAGTCCATCAGTCAACTTCTAGGGCAGTAATTCTCAAAATGTGGTCTCTAAACTGGTATCACCAATATCACCTGGGAAACTGTTAAAAATGTAAATTTTCAGGCCCCACCGCAGAATCAGAAACGTTGCAGATAGGATCCAGGGTTTGTATTTTACCAAGCCCTCCGGGGGATGCTAACGCACTTGTCAGAGTTTGCTCTAGAAGGGAGGCAGGCTCACTGAGCAGAGTTTGCCTGCCTCTGTCCACGGTTATTCCACCCATGGTGCATTTCTGTTTGCATGTATCAAGTACATGTGTAAGTGTGCAGCCCTGGCACCTTTACCTGTTCCCATCTTCTTCTACCTACAAGCAGGCAGGACTGTCAGTGAGGACAAACCATGCTCAGAGCCTTCTGAGAAGGGCCATTTTGAGGAGGAGCTGGAACGTTGAGGGCTCAAGGGCTATCTTTCCCTTGCAATTAACACTCGCTAACTTTTGCTTCTTCCTTGATAGATTTTCTTTTTCTCCATCACTTTAGAGTCTCCTTCTCTTCCCCAGCTTTTCTTTTTCTTTTAATTTGAGACAGGCTCAAATTTCTTTTAATTTGAGACAGGATCTTACTCTGCCACCCAGGTTGGAGGGATGTGTTCATAGCTCATTGCAGTCTTGAACTTTTGGGGTCAAGTGATCCTCCCACCTCAGCCTCCCAAGTGGCTGTGACTATAGGCATGCACCACCAAGCCTGGCTAATTTTTCTATATATTTTATATATACATAAAATATAATATTATATATATTATAATATGTATATTATATATATACACACATATTTTTAATTGTAAAGATGAGGTCTCCCTATGATGTGTAGGCTAGTTTTGAACACCTGGCCGTGAGTGATCCCCCTGGCTCAGCTTCTTATAGTGCTGGGACTATAGACTTGAGCCACTAAACCCAGCCAGCTTTCTTTCTTTTAATTTGGTTCCCTCTTTTCACTATCTCTTCTTCCCAGACACTTTTTTTTTTTTTTTTTTTTTTTTGAGACAGGGTCTTGCTCCGTTGCTTAGGCTGGAGTGCAGTGGCATGACCATGACTCACTGCCTTGACCTCCCAGGCTCAAGCAAGCCTCTTGCCTCAGCCTCCCCAGTAGTTTGGACTACAGACATGTGCCATCACGTCTGGCTATCTACCAGTCTATCTATCTACTTAATTAATTAGAGATGGAGGTCTCACTATGTTGCCCAAGCTGGTCTCGAACTCCTGGGCTCCAGCAATTCTCCCACCTTGACTTCCCAAAGTACTGGGATTACAGGTGTAAGCCACTATGCCCAGTCACATTTCTAAAACAACAACAACAACAACAAAAAAAGATGAATAGGCAATGATGCTTCTAGAAAGAAAAATAAAAATTAAAAAATAAATAAATAAATAAACATAAATATTAAGCTACTGTATTGAAAGGATATAAAACAGTACATACTTTGGGTGTTATTCCCCCATTTCCCTAGCTCCCACCCCAAATCCCAGATACGCCCATTTTCCCTAAAAAAGATCATCTTCAGTGGGGCTACTTAAGGGTTACATGGCAAAGCATAAACTCTTACGCAAGATCCAGCATTTGGCTAGCATGAGAATTTCAACATGTTGACCTTAGTGTAGGAGGCCAAGATCTGGATAAAAATCACTTCAAAGTTTGTTCTTCTCTTTCCTTTTATAATATTAAGCTTTCATAACCTAGGCTTGGAAATGTCAAAACTAAAAGAACAAATGAAACGTCCCTTGGAGAACTCTCTTACCCTCTGTGGGTTTATCCTAACTGCGAAAGTCTTTGGGCTTCAAAATTCTTCAGTGAGGTGCACTACTGCAGCACTACTGAACGCTTCACACAGTTCATCCACCTACATGTGAGCAGCAGCATTGTTCTCTATTTCAAAATTAATGGCACTAAATTTGGAGGCCTTCGTAAATGGTACAAAGTATTGTTAAGCTAACTTTTGTAAAATTTCATTAACCATCTCTTCAAAGAAGAATTGTGTAACTGTCCACACCATAGCTACCAATGCATATGGACTCAGGTATCAGGTTTCTAAGCAGAACGCACAGGCAACACAGTAGCATGATAAAATGCAGGATGTGGAGGGCTGGACTCACGAAGGCAGCCAATGCTCTAAGGCATGCAACAGGGGCATGTGCCAGCAGACCCCGGTCCCCCAGCCAGGCATGCTTGAACATACAGAGCACAGGACATAATGAGGTCATGTCTATTTACCAGCCACAAGAAGCCAAAGCAAGCCTAAGGGAGGCCAGGATGACAAATGCTGTTTGGAGAACTAAATTGGCCTACAAAGGGCAATGCTGAGGGGAGGCAAATAGGCAAATATTGCTTTGGTTCAAGCAGCAGATTGAGGTGACCAAAACAGACCTCTGACCCAGATTTCCTTTTGGCGGTATCGTCTATATTGAGGAGGTCCCCAAAGCGCTCATTAGTGATAAACTGATGGTGCGTCGGAATGACGCCTGTGTGGCGTCGAGCTGCAATATCAGCCTCTTCTTGCTCGCGCTTAAGTCGTCTCTGGTCCGCTAAAAGTTTCTGCCATAAAATTGCATAAAATGGGCAGTGAATCATCTGTTCCAGCGTATTAGAAAACTGCCAACAAAAGTAATTAGGGAAGGAGGTGCTGGGTGAACGGGGCAGAGGCTTTAAGGGTCAGCTGTCACAAGGGCCTTAGAGCCACAGCTACTACACTCCCATCGTAACTACCCTCCGAACACTATAGAAAGGAGGCAGCACTTCACTGGGAAAGCCAGGATAGGGGACGGATGATTCCACATGATTACACTGTCCAGCAAACTACCTACCCCCGGCGCAGTCCAAAGCCTCCTGCTCCTGGCAGCAAAAGGCCAGGTGAGCCAGGGGCACATCCAGGGCATTCCCAACCATGCTGGGCTGGCAGCAGGAGGCTGGAAGTGCCATCTCTACCCTGTTTTTAGGCAAGGATATATTCCCACAGCATATTCCCCTGGCAGGACCAGGGATGGACAGTTCCTCCTGCCCATCTCAGGCCTATTAAACCTGCTATAGGCTTTTGCTAGTGAAGTCTATGGCACCAGGTCGTTTTTGTGATTCCTGTATCTACTACTCTAATATGCTCTTGACAGAGTGGAGCAGCCCATTTCAGAAAAGATGAAGCCCCTTCTAGACAGCCAAGTCTTCCCCTAGGCACAATTTTTAGAAGGCCTTGGGATATGCACCAAAGGCTAATTACGTGGCCGACAGAGAGCATCAGTTGCTTTCTTACTGAATGATGTCTTCACTAGGTGAAATGAAGCTGAGTTAAGGGAATGACAAAGAATATAAATATAAAAAAAAAAACCCCTAAGAATAATGGTACCTGGGATTAGAAGAAATATTCTCTCTTAGAGTAAGGAAAAAGTCATCTATTTCTATTTTTAAAGGCTTCTTTGAAAAATCAAACAAGGTTGCTTTTTACCAAATGCCCTCAATGTCTATTAAAATGACCCCATGGAACAGAATTTTAAATGTGTTTTCTAATACTAGACAATCTTACTTTCCTGGGATTAACTTTCCTTATAGGAAAGCATGAATTAGAACTGATTCTTAGCATTGGAAAACAGTAGGCTTCTTCCAGCAGGCAATTAAATGCCTCATGTGACATGCAACCCCAAAGGAGGGTGGGCCGATTCTCCAGAGACTACAAATAACAAGGTGACAACTCATCAAATGGCTGTGGGATTTCCAGTACTCAAGTAAGTTGTAAAGATAAATGAGAAAAGACATGAGAAAGTCCTCTGAGAAGCCCAGTGCTATAGAAAGAGTGCTGGTCCAGGCATCTGGAGCCCTGGTTTCTAGTTCTGCTGTTGGTATAGGTTAACTTACTAGGCAGCCCTGGGCAAGCTACTACCTTGCTGTGGTCCTTTCCTGGACTAAACCAGGGGCTTGGCTACATGACCACTAACGTTCCTGTCAAGTCTGATATGTTCTCATTTTCTGAAAATCCATGTTAATGATAAAGCATTTGCAATGGGGCGGGCCTGACTGACATCCCATGAGCTGGGAAGTGTGAGCTGCTTTTGTAGCCATGGGAATGGAGTGATGCTTGAGACTGCCACAGTTCTTACTCACGGCCCCTTGTGTTCTGGCTGGAGTTAAACATAATCAGTGGAAGTGGACATCAAATGGGGCAAAGCTCCCAATCCAGTACTTTAATCTGACCTTAGTAAGTCCCTCAGCACTGTAGTTTAACCATATAAGCCAAAAACCATGGATAAAGACACAAAACTTTTCAGGATCTATGAGCCAGTGTTATTCAGGAGACAACTGCTCGCCTTCTTATGTAACTTCTAATATATCCATTGCTAAGCCACTAGATAAACTACAGCTCCCATGTGGTAGGCAAGAATTGTCCCATAGAACCTTCTAGGTCAGAGACTAGGGCTTATATTACTAACATGGAATTTCATCTTCCTTCATCATAGCAGCCCCAGCCTACATACATGGGAATCTTGTATCTTGTGGCAGGAAATATTTAACAAAGAGCTATAGAAATGAATCTGCTCTATGGCCTGATGGATACTCATCATTAGTGAGTTATTACAATAATAGCTGTACATCAGATGCTTTATCTTGTTTCTTTCCATGGACCGGTGCAAGTTTCTTATTGAATACTGTTCAATTGTGCCCAGAGATGGGGAGAGGTACAGTGGTTTAACTTTCTTTTTTTTTTTTTTTGTTGAGACGGAGTCTCGCACTGTCGCCTGGGCTGGTGCCCAGTGGCGCGATCTCAGCTCACTGCAACCTGCGCCTCCTGGATTCACGCGATTCTCCTGCCTCAGCCTCCTGAGTAGCTGGGATTACAGGCGCCCGCCACCACGCCCGGCTAATTTTTTTGTATTTTTTTAGTGGAGATGGGGTTTCACCGTTTTAGCCAGGATGGTCTCAAACTCCTGCCCAAGTGATCCACCTGCCTTGGCCTCCCAAAGTGCTGGGATTACAGGCATGAGCCACCGCGCCTGGCCATGGTGCTTTTATTTTTGTCTTTTGTTTCGCCATCTGGTGGCAATAATTATCTTCATCCCACTCGTCCCCAAGTCAGCCTTATCCTAAATCCTTCAGGAAACCCCACCTAAGCTCTGGAACTACTCAACAAGGCATAACAACAGAGAAAAAGGGCTTCAGACTTGAACGTGAATGGGACAGAGTTGTGTACACATGCACTCCCTCCCCCACTCCTACCAGGTCAATGTGATTTTTCCATCTCTTAATTCATTTCAGAAATATGGGCTCGGGAGCTTGTTTAATCTCTAGGACTCTTTTTCTTGGGGATGTGAGGCCCAGAAAGCATGTATCATCACAATGCTTTATCCCAGCAGAAGCTTGTGATTTTGCCCATTTGACTGATACAAAGAATCACCTCTTCCCAAATCCCCGAGAAAAGGGGCTCTTTCCCAGGCCCTGCCAGTCACCCCATGGCAGGATAGGCATTTCAGTAGCTACAAGAAAATATCCACATTTTGAAGTTCTTGGCTGGGGTTTTCCAGTATTTCTTGGTGTATCTGCCTTCTTCTGAATTGAAGGCAACAGAGTTATAGGCAACTTCCTCAAATTGTTTTATAAAATGTATCAAGGTCATTACTATTTTTCATTTTCCTTTCTCCTATTGCATCCTTCTCAATTTGAACAATGCTTTGTGCCAACAGAGGGGTGGGCAGTATTGGAGAAATATGCAGGCAGATTTCCTTAGGGATTATCAAGCGTGGGGTTGAGGGGGGATGAAAGAGCAAACTCTGGTTTCCAGCTTACAGGGCATTAAGTACAGCAGTGGACAATCTCTTTCTGTATCTCCCATGCAGCAGTGCTGGCTGGACTTGGCGTTTATAACCTAGTGCCTGTGGGGAAATCAGTCCTACTTTTGGGAAAAGTCGACCAAAAAAAAAAAAAGTCGACAAAAATTGAGGCTTTCACAAGTGATTTCTTTTATATGACATAGGCTCAATGTCATATAAAAAAAATCACTTGTGAAAGCCTCAATTTTTGTCTCCAATTGCTAGACCATGTCACCTCTCTGACAGATGTCTAGAATCTTTATTTTCTTCATACATTTTTCCAAGCAAAAGCTAAGAGATTTAAAAGATGGGATTTACCTCTTTATCATCATGACGTCTTCGAATAAATTCTTCTGTGGATTCCAAGTAATCAGCTGGTATAAAATGTCTTGGCGATTCTGAATCTTTAAAACAATAAAGTAGAGTTAAAACAGGCAAAGATTTCGCTGGAAACCAGCTTGGGAAAATAGTTCACCTTTCATCTATTATAAATATCAAAATTTTAAAGTCATTCTTGATCAATGATCAATGGTCGAATTCTGAAGGAAAAAAAAAATTCCACCCCCTGCCCCATTTTTTGGATTTATTTGTCAACTACTTTAATGCAAAGAAAACTACTCAGAAGGCAAAAGGTGAGCAAAATGAGAGAACTTTCTTTGTAAAGTTTCCCTAACAAAGAGGCGTGCAGGACCTTATAGGGACAAGGCACACACTCACACACATATAGGGCCATTGAGAGAGGCTGCCTCTCAAAAAACCACGGGATATGTTGGGGCTTGGTACAAACAGCAAGGGGTTCAGGAGTTCAAATGAACACATTTCTCAGTTGAGCTAAACGGCCAATTTTTCTTTCGAAACACAGTTTGGTGGTTAGTCTAAATGACATGGGGGCTTTGTTTTTAAAGAAGTGCAGCCACTATGAGCCATGATTAATTGCCAAGCAAAACAAACAGAAAACAAAGGACAGACCAGAAAATGAGCACCAAGGGCACAGAGGAGGAAGGGATAATGCAAGCAAAGTGGAGGGACGGGCAGGTGAGACTAGGCAAACACACAAAATGCCACCTCCGCGGGATGGTGCCAGTTCACTTTGTGGGTTGTTGTTCCTGTCCAGGCTGTGGTCTGAGTATGGCACGGAGTTTCCATTATTAATGGCCCTTGGGTAGTCCTCCAGGGCCGTGGGTCTCTCCTGAGAGGGCTCTGAGCTGCGGCTAAGCCTGGCCATGGTGTGTCGGGAAGACAGGCGTGTGGGAACCACGGGCTTCCCCCCAGAAGGGGGCTGGTCCTGATGGGGCTGACTGGGGAGGTCTGGCTTCTGGCCTACCAGGAGGCCTGAGGAGTCACCAGGAGAAGGTTGTCTGGGGTGGTGGTGGAGGGGCTTTTTCAGCCGGAAAGGAAGGGGGCTCATTAGGTAGATGTTCCTGAGGAGGGTGCTCTTGTCCCCTCTGGAATCCAGGCGCCACTCGGGCTGTCTAGAGGTCTGCTGCTGCTCATGCTTCCGGATGGTGGTGAAGCGAGTGTATGAGGCCGGGCAGGTGCCCTTGCACTTGTTGAGGCGATGTTTGGGGAAATCTCCGTGAACGCTGCTGCTACTGCCTTCTCTGCTGTCAGTGGAGATATTTGAACAGCGGTCCAGGTCATCAGAGCAGGTGGAGAGGGGCTCAGAAGGCACAAGGCCCCTGAAGCTCAAGGCATGGTGCGCCATATTGCTACATGTTGGGGAGGCATAGACCCCACTGGAGTTCATCCCATCCATCTCCTTGGGACGGAGCTTGGTTGACTCAAGGAGGGACTCGGCCGAGCGGGCTGAGGTCAGGTTGCCCCGGGACAGCACAGGTGTGGGAGACTTGCTCAGCCTGCCGGACAGGTCCAGGGATGGCATGGAACGGGACCGCTGAATCAGCTGCTCAAAAGCGGTGATGCGGGAAGAGACGGTGTGCTTGGGGATGTGTTCCGAGCCCTCCTGGCTGGGGCCCAGCTCACCCCTGGACAATGCCAGGCTACTCTTTTCAAAGTGGGAGGCAAGATCTCGCACACTCGAGGAGGAGGAGATGGAGCCCAGGAAGAGGCCAGCTCGGTTGATCTGGTGCATGTCCCGATAAAGCATCGTGAACTGCATCCCAGCCTTTCTTGAGAGAGGGCAGGGCCTCCTGCCGCTGGTGCTGTACTCCTGGAGGCTCATGGTACTGCTCGACTTGCTGTCATAATCCCGTCGGGAGCGCATGAGCAGGTTCTCAATGCTCCCTCCCACTTGGAGCGGGAGGCCTCTTTTGGAATCATTCAAAGAACCGGAAACACAAAGGTTCTCACAGCTTTGAGCCTTCTCTGAGGGCAAGAGGATACTCTTCTGTTCCTGCAAAAGAGTGCTGGGAGCCGAGAGCCTGGGTTTGAATTTGGAAGGAAGGATTTCCGAAATGCAGGCTTTCGCAGCTGACAGGGGCTTCTTGTGCTTACACACAGGGCCTAACGCATTGCTAGTGTTAAACGTTCGGCTATGGACTGAAGATGAAGAAATCATGTGAGCATTCCCACCTTTACGATCCACTGGTAAGCATGCAGAATAAAATAAATAGACCCATTAGGTTAAAGCTGAAAGCTGCTAAAAAGAAAAAGGAAAGGTAACATGCTCATTTGTCATAAGGGCTTTTAAAAAATTTCCAGTCGATGTCCGGAAGCAAAATAATCTGTGCTGCAAAGCAGGTGCAAGGATGCAACAACAAAAAATGCCTACCCTGCTAGAGTTAGGAATGGCTAAAGCTCAGCTAATTTCTAAGAAAAGGTAATCAGAATGAGAGAGAAAAAGAGAGAGAGAGAAATCTTTAAGGAGAGCAAGGTTGGGGGGGTCAAAGGAACAGAAACTATTAAAACCAGAAAGAAAAATGGCCGGTAAGAAAATAGGGGAGGGAATTTAAGAGGGCTCTGAGGCCTGGATGTGGGTCTGAACAAGGCACGACTTATCCCCATTGCTGGAGGTTCACCACGGCCGACGCTCAGTGAATGGAGGTGGATGGGAGATGGAGGCCTTGCAGGCTTCACCCAGTTAATTACCTTTAGTGGAAGCCGAGCTGGATGGTCGCTTTAGCCCACTCAGGCCCTGAAGAGGGATGTCGCCACCTTCCAAGACACTTTTATAAATTTGTCTCTCATTCTCCAAGCTAGTGAGATCCCCAGGAGCCCCATCTGATTCCCTCTTCACTGCATGGAAGTTGGAAGAATATATACTATGAACAGGTAATTTTGAAAGAAAGAGAGAAAAGGGAAAAAATAAAGATAAGAATAGGAGTTAGTGCTTTTAACATTTTTCAAACAGCACATTACCTGCTGAGGACAAGAAATACAGCCGGCATCCTAATCAACAACTGTCCTTCCTAAAGAGTGCTCTTTTTAGACACACATTTCTACAGACAGGCCCATGGAGCCCCGAATGCTCAGGAATCTTGCCCAAATAGCAAAGTTCTCTAACTGAAATGGCTGCATTTGCCCTTTAAAAGAAAAATTCTGTGGAACGCCGCCTGGGGAAGAAGGGTTGGAGGAAGGATAGGGAAGAACAGGGGGAAGATCACACACAGGGGAGTGCAGGAGGACCCAGTGGCTGCACGCAAGATGGTGCAGTCGAGGACATGAGTGGTGCCTCTGTCATGTAGCCAGGCAGTGCCAGCTACTCCAAGTCCACTACCTGGATTATTTTTCTGGGTTATTCTACGTAAGCATTTGGAATATTAAAATCATCAATGAAAGGGGGAGGCCCAACTGTCTTGGGTATCCAGGAAAATCAGTGACCAAGTGAAATTGGAACCTGGGATTCTATGGGCTCTTAGTGTCACAGCCACATTTGCACTCACTTCTTTCAAAGTTTGTGTTCAGAAGATTATGACATGACATGCAGTATGAGCATAAATGATTGCTCATTTATAGCCTCCATTTATTTTTATCTTGTTAAAATCAAGGTGTTTCTGCAAGTTACCACAAATTCCTTTTGGAATGAGGTGAGGCACAGAAAAAAAAAATTAAGGGTACTTACTCACCGAGTCCCTCCCTTCTCCTAATCCCACTTTTCTATGCCTGCCACTAACACACTGTCATTCACACACACACACGCACACAAACAGACACGTACATGCACAGACATGCACGTGCATACACGCATACACACACACACACACACACACACACACACACACACTTCTCAGTTAAGTGAATGACTCCTGTCCCGTAGAACCACATAGGCTTCTGCTGGGCTTCTTTTATTCCTATCGAACTCAGGTTACTGGTATCAAAATAGATTTTTCAGCTCTGAAGACCCATTGCTAGGTGGAATTCCTTCATCCCTCTGTTTCATTGTGAACATCAACTAACATACAGAACAGCTTAAAGAATTACAGAGTGAACACCCATATTCCCGCCACCTAGCTTCTATAGGGGCCACAAACTGTGACTGCTCGATCACACATCTGTCCAGCTATATTTCCCTCTACTCATCCAGCAATGATGAATAATGTGATGCTTTTACATTTCGGGAAACTGGCCTTTCTTTCTGTGCATAACTGCAGCCTCTGAGTCCCCATGGTCACTGATAATGACAGCAAAAACAACTCTACACGCCTCTTGGTGAGCATCCTACATGGCAGGCACTGTGCCTATTGGTCATTCTCACTTCAATCCTAACAATCCTACTTCTGCCATTTTTCAGATAAGGAAACATGGCACTGAGAGATTCAGTAACGTATCAAAGTAGGCAGGTTAGCAGGATGGCAGGGCTGGAACTTGAACCAGGCCATTGAGTACTACACAGATAATATTCTCTCTCAGCTCCTGTTTTATTTCACTGCTTATTAATTTATTTTTTGTAGGGACAGGGTCTCGCTATGTTGCCCAGGCTGGTCTTGAACTCCTAGCCTCAAGTGATCCTCCCACCTTGCCCTCCGAAAGTGCTGGGATTACAGGCATGAGCCACTGTGCCCAACCTTCAGCTCCTGTTTTATTGATAGATACAACATTTCCCTACAACTAAGAAGGCAGTGGCTTGCACACTACGGGAACCAGAGGGGAGCTGAGGGATGCTCCAGCTCCCTATACACCATCACCGCTGAGTGTTACTCACCATATATACACCCCTAAGATGAGTGGCACCAGATGCAGGAGTCAGAAACGGAAAAGAGGTGGGGACTCTGGTAGAATACCACCACATCTCCACCTTAGAATAATAAAGTCCCCTGAGCAATACTATTGCTTCTGGCACTGGTAATCCCCTCATAGAGCTGCCACTTACTGAGCCTCACCTTGTACCCACCTCGGGCTTAGGGCTTTACCCACCCTATTTCAAGGGACTGCAGAGGATGGGGGTCAGAGCTCCCCCAGGGCCCTCTTCATTCACTCTGGCCTAGATGTGGGGGTCAAATGCTTTTCCTCTTTACTTAGAGGAGTTGGAAGAACCCGAGGGTAGCTTGCAAGGCTGCAGCATCATATGCCAATTTAAATAAATGTGAGTTGATTTAAACTGGCTTATAATTTTGAATTTCCTAATTAAAAATAAATATGTCCCTTTTCTAAATTTCCTATTCATTATCCACCCTCTTCCCTTTGGTTGCATTTTCTGATTTTGCCCTTCAGTTTAATGCTATGTTTCCTCTTTTTGTATAACCCCAACAGCAAAAACATCCATGAATAGATGTCCTTTATCCTTGCTGACCAACAGTTGTGGTGACTGAGGTCTCTTTTGAAGGTATGGTGTCTGAAGCCCCGCCCATCCTGGTTTGGGGCTACCACACCTCCTTCAGCATTGGAGAGCAGTAAACTAAAATGGGCTTGAGGCTGCCTCCATACTTTGAGTTCCTATTCTTCTGCAACCTAACTATGTAAACAAACTACAATCTAAAAGTATGCTCTTATAACAAGTAGCTGAGTCTCAGCCAATCACAGCAGCCAAGCTTCAGCCAATCCCAGGCTACCAACTGATCAGCCCATGTCTATATAAATGCCCAAACAGGCAACTGTGGAGCTGCAACCAATCCAGCTGTAGCTGTACTCACTGTCTTTTGTTGTTTATAAATGCTGCCTGCCCATGTTGCTGGGTGAAGCTCTCTGAACTGCCCGTGGTTCTGAGGGCTGCTGGAACATAAATCCTTCTATACCTTAAATAAATCTGCTAAATTTAATTTGTCTAAAGTTTTTCTTTTAACGGAGTGACTGACAACAGCTTCCATTCTGCTGTGCCTGCTATCCTTTGAATTGCCTCAGCTTTGGCCAGAACTTTTTTTTTTGAGACAGAGTCTCACTCTGTCACCCAGGCTGGAGTGCAGTTGCACCATCTTGGCTCACTGCAACCTCTGCCTCCCGGGTTCAAGTGATTCTCCTGCCTCAGCCTCCCGAGTAGCTGGGACTACAGGCGTGCGCCACCACGCCCGGCTAATTTTTGTATTTTTAGTAGAGACGGGGTTTCGCCATGTTGGTCAGGCTGGTCTCGAACTCCTAACCTCAGGTGATCCACCCACCTCAACTTCCCAAAGTGCTGGGATTACAGGAGTGAGCTACCACACCTGGCCTGGCCAGAACTTCTAAGTCATCTTCCTAAGTTCCTAATAACTTTGTTCTGTCATGACTCTTGGCCATAACTGGCTGCCTGACCTCATACCTCTGCTCTGCTTCACCAATGGTCAGATCTCACCCTACTCCAACCCCTCAGCCACCTCACTCTCTGGCCTTATTCCACCCATTATCACCATTTTTCCCTGCTTCCTACCAGAACGATAAACCAGCACTCAGGAAATCTCTCAGAATGGATTTGCCACAGCCAATTGTTTTTCTGATACCAAAGCTAACAAAACATGCTTTTTCCAGATGTGCAACATTTTGAAACCGAGGCACTCCTCATTTAAAAACAATACCTAAGAGCTCTACAACAATGCTGTGTCGCCCAGGCTGGAGTGCAGTAGCGTGATCTCGGCTCACTGCAACCTCTGCCTTCCGGGTTCAAGTGATTCTCCTGCCTCAGCCTCCCAAGTAGCTGGGACTATAGGCGCCTGTCACCA